TGAGAAAATAAAATTAAACTTATGGATTTAGATAATGCTGATTTAGGTAATCTAACAAATCTTTGTGCAGATGAACAAGAAACTTATCTAAGCTAACGGTGTTTAGCATATGGCTTCCTGATCAGTTTGAAAAAGCTAAAAGCAACTAAGGAGTAACCGGATCACTTCTACGTTTTGTGGACGACACGCCGCATGTGTTTGGAGATAAATGGATGCTCCGTTTATTCTGACGAGAAAAGTAAACAGAGCTTGATTTGATTATACCGCTCAGCCGGAGAGAGCTAGCGTGCGTTAGCATGTTAGCTGCGATCACGCTTCAGTTTGTAGAAGAGAACGGACATTTTCCAAACCAAAGATGAGTCTTTAGAATTATGTCATATTTGATCTACAGTCCAACCTCTAAGCAGGACTGTTACTTCAGTAGATAATGTTATTCGTGGGGTTTGTGTAACAGAACCCCATCTGAATATATTTTCCTAGCGCTATTGCTGTGCTACATAAGAATAAATAATAAGTCAGCCATAACAACACGTTTGACTAAAAGTAAAGTTGTGCAGAAGTTTGTGTTTATTTTTCTAAATTTGTCCAGTTGAATGTAGGTCAGAATAAAATATGTTTGTGAAAATGATGAATAATTTTTTTTATAACTGACCTGCATTTTCATATTACTAGTTGTGCGACAGGTAAAGAAGCTTAGCCATTATTTATCTATGTAAACAGAAGGTGTAGAGTCTCAACCAACTTGTTGACATTTTTGTTTAAAAATGTGTTTTCCAGCTACCGGAAGAAGCAGGCTCCTGAAACTGCAATTCAGGGAGGTTATGTGCAGTCCACCTCGACAGAACAGCAGCTAAAATGTCGCATCGATTATCTCCAACTGAACCTGTGTCTGAGGGGTTAGTATCTTTTCTGTAAAACAAATATTCACGTTTTTGTGCTATGATATTTCATACATTAAATTACACCTTGCATATCCACACTTGGTTCAGAAATAAACATCACATCACCAAACACTTCTGACATTATCTTTACAGGGAAGATTTTCTAATGGCTGGTGTTGAGGCCTTAGCTGATGACCTAGATTTGGATCCTTTTGAAGAAAGGTAAATTTGTTCATGAGAAGTCTTGCCATATACGCAGGAAATTACTGCTGTACTATGTGCAAAAAAGATAAAAACACAATAGATAAGCAAATATAGGTCATTATATATATTTATGTAGTGAAGTGTCAATTCACAGCAGATTGTTGTTATTTGCAGAAAGAATTAATGACAGATGTATTAGGCTCCACATTTATCTCTTTAGAATCAGTACCATTTCAGGTAAGTTCCAGTATTTATCTTTACGTACAACAAATATTGTGTTGTCTGTAGTTTCAAATCCATGGATCTAGCTACGGATGCAGTCCAAATTGATGAGGACCAAGCAAACAACTTACTCAACAGTGTGTGAGTTGCAATGTCTTCTTATCTAGGGGTGGGCAATATAAACGATATAAGGTAGAAATGATATAAAATTGGGTAATGATAGTTTTTGGCTATATCGCAATACGGCGATATTGTGATAACACATGACGTCACTAAGATGTGCACCCTGCTGACAATGGGACAACAGAATGGCCATGACTGCAAGCATGGAGTGGGCGGAGGAGGAGGCCTATATGCCTCAAGTGGCATATATTTGCCACATGAGGATATGTAAAAGCATGTCAATTTGACATCTATAAACAGATGAAAAAATATATCGCAATATATATATCGTTACTGCACATGCTTCAGATTATATCGCAATATAGATTTGAGGCCATATTGCCCAGCCCTATTCTTATCTACACTCTTTTTTTTAAACTCCAAAGTCTAAAAACAATATATTAATTCTACTTTTATTTATTGTTTTCATAACAGAATAGAACTGTTATGAAAACTTTGTCAGGCTGACGAAGTTTGCAGCCGCAAACAAAACGTTGCAGGTAAATAAAACCCTTCTATGTTTTAAAAAGAACTAAAAGATGGAATTGTTGTTTTATCCTTGTTCACAGGCTGGGATCCTAAAGGGAATTTCCATCCTACTTGTGTGGCTGAAGGACATCTTCAACCAATTTTGGTACATTTGCCAGAAAGCACAACATCGTGATATGTTTAATGTAAGTATCGTGACATCTTTTGGACAACAAGACAACAATGCACATTGACATAATTACCTTTCTTTTCATAATAGTGCCAGCTCTCGTGTTTCTGTTGGTGAGCGCTTCTGTCACATGTAAAGTTTTCAAATAAAACTTATTTTTTCTGTTAGGACATGTGGGTGGGTGTGCTTCACCATGTCACAGGGAAGCATGAATGGACCCGTGGCAAATGTGACCATGGACCACTTGATGCAACGAGGCATGGTGCCAGGATCTCTACCACACGAGGCTCTTCAACGAATCATGTTCAACAGACGCTGGTTGAAGGATGCCACCAATCTGACCTTTAGGTATATTAATAACATTTTCATAAGCAAAAAAGCTAAAGTGTCAATATCAAAGCTGAAAATTTACATATAGAAATGACAATTGTGGGTGAAAAGGCAATCAAAAGAGTGATTCCTAATAATCTATAAAGTTGTAGCTTTTGTTTTTTTACAGGTCAACTTCAGAACTGGAGAGTTTCCAGAATTGCATTCTCATGTAATCTATGTAAGATCTAATGCTGCTCTCTCCATAAAGGCCCCAGCTACGTGAAGCATCAAGAGACAGGAATGACTTCTTTCATGCACACAGATTTATTAGAAATTAAGAAAATATACTATGTACAAATGCAAATAACAGAACTTTTTTGTACATAAATAAAAATAAATATATTGCACAAACTGTTTGTTCATTTTTGGGTGAAAATGCTGTCTTCAGCTAAAGTTATTTTGAGGTATTGTGCTGTTTTGGAACTACTGTAGTTGTAGATAAACGGTTTGGATTTTTGGGTTAGGCTGCCCTCAGTCAGGAAGACGGTGTCCTGGCGTCTCTTGCCAAAACTCCAGGATATCCAGCATCACCCCTGGAAGACGGGTCACCACTCTCTCGAGAATATAATCTCTCTCCTCCTGGCTCAGGTGTTGTAAAGCTGTCTAGAAATTAAAGAGCATATGTTTACATGACTAGATTCATATCTCCAGTGAGTGATGTTTTCGTTTTTGGAATCTATTATTTTATTTTATTTTTTTACACAAATGGCTACAACCAACCTGCATCTCAGCCAAGGGCGTCAGTTTGTTTCCAGAATTGCTGGGGACAATAACCATACACTTGAGTGGGGTTTAAAAATTGCTGGGGACAATAGAGTTGGCTAGCACAGGGGTCGGCGGCTCTGTAGCCGCATGCGGCTCTTCCATCCATCTGATGCGGCTCTCTGTGCTTGTAAAATAATGAATGGATATTTAAATAAAATGCTTTATATTTTACTGCATTAATTTTACATCTGTAAGCTAATTCTAAATGTAAAGATCGTCTGCGTAAACCTGAACAGGTCCAACCCGGTCTTACTGTGAGACCGGGTTGACGCGTCACGCTTGTGCGTAATCATAGGCGCTTCCTGAGCTGGAGGGTGTGAGATTCTGGGATTCTCCTCAGACAGGTTCCTGGATGCGTCGCCACATTGGAGACAGGAACAAGCGCTATTCAGCCAAAGTTTCATAATCAGGGAACATTTTCTAAGTGAGAAGTCTCTCTGAGAGACCGGGTTTGGAAAACACTCGCTTCAGTGGGAGGAACCTTCCACATGCGCTCTGGTTCTGAGAGCCTGGATTTGTATTCTGAACAGTCTAAACATGTTTTAAAAAGAAACGTATGACAAAAGTTGCACCTGCTCAGTAAAACCACCAACAGGGTGAAAAATATCAAAATATTGTCGGCAGAGACGGGCTACAACTTCTGGATCCATGTTATATAAATCGTTTTATTGATTATCGTCTTATGAAAGATAACTTTGACGTACACGAGCGACCAGGCACGTTGCAAGATTTTCAAAAGTGTGGGGGATGTTGTCTGTGCCTAAAATAATTTCATGTAATTCACCTTGTTAGTTTAATTTCCATAATAGCGGAGCAGGTGCGAATTTTAGACGCGTCACGCACGTCTCCGTTTTAAACATGTTTAAACTGTTCAGAATACAAATCCAGGCTCTGTCTCGTTAGATCGGTGTAACTAAAGTTTGTACTGAATGAAACTTTACATTAAACCATGTTGAAGAGAAAAGGATCCGATTAAATCGTTTCCCCTCATTTACAGTCACGACGTACAGCGCAGTGCGCGTGGCTCTGTAATAAAAGCAACTTATGTTTTTTGAGATGAAAAGGTATTTTAAGTTGCTTAAACTTAAAATCCACGTTTCACGAATTAAGTGTAATAAATTGAGTCAGCCCGACAAACCAAATTAGTTGTGTGCTTCAACAATATTAAGTGAGTCGTATGAACTTACATATATAAGTTTGACTTCATAATATCGCGCCCAAGTTCTGCTAACGTCCATGCTTTTGTTGTGAAATGCGGGAAAGTCGACTTTTGGAGTTGGAGGAGTCAGTCTCACTCTGCGTGTGGTTGGAGGCAAAGGAGGCTGCATAGGTAAGTTTTCCCCTTTTTCCTGGGTTCAAATTATGTTAAAAATAAATTATGAATATGTTTTGTGCTCTATAAAGTTAGCCTACACGTATAAACAACTTTTACAGGTGATTTTTTTTAAGGTAAGGCTGTCGACGGTTGAGATTTATGCTATAGGCTATATTCTGCAACTAGCCTGTACTTAAAAAACATGGACCTCTGTAACTAACTGTTTCATTTCGTACTTGTTTATTGTTTGAAATGATATCTGCTATACCACTAATGATATTTCAATTTCTTTTGATAAACAAGCTAAATATTGAGAGAATAATTGCTTACTCACATTGCTAATGGCTAATGTAGCAACAGCAGCTAGCAATTAGTGTCGAATGTGCATTGACTTAAAAACTACAAAATTATGCTTTAGTACACTTTACACCCATAGACGGTGGAGCAGATTTGGCACCAGGACGGAGCAGTGGGACTGCGGGGCAGACAACACGGAGGAGCGGGACGGAGGGGCAAATACTGATAGGCTGCGGAGGAAATGCACAGAGCAACGGGACGTAGAAGCAGGACGTGGAAGAGCCAGCTCAAACGCGGAGGAGCCAGTCCAAACACTGGCAAACAGTGCACCAACGCAGAGCTGTGGGGCCAAACACTAACTCTGGACCAGGCTGCTTAGAGGTGAGTTTCTGTTCTCAATTCTTTTTTCTTTTCTTTTCTTTTCTGTTTTTACATTTTGTCATATAACTTCATCAGGTGTCTGCAACTGAATGTATAGGCTACTTTTTAACCTTGCCTGGTGGATCTGTATGCTGTGAAAAATGAAAAAAAATAATAATAATAATAATAAAATAAAAAACTAGCTAATGGTTTCACTTGCTGCAATCAGCTCCTGGGGCCAACAAAAAAAAAGTTTTAATTTTAAATATTAGTAGATCACTATACCGTATTAGATTTGACAAATCTCCCTAACAACATTTTGTTTGTTCTGTCTTTGATAACCTACCGGTATTATGTAAAATGTTTGTATTTGTATTATCTAGTTTGCTAATTTCCATCAAATTCTACCTTTTGTCTTTTAGAATAAAATGAATGAATGCAGTGTAAATTCTGTAAATTCGCCCCTGCCGCCGAAGCTGTTCTTCTGAAACACTACCGTCTTCATCACAAAAGTAATGCCTGGCCATGCATCCACACGGACTGTTTATGCACTTTTAAAACAATTAGTTCTTTGAAATCTCACCTTTCAAGATCACACAGGACTGTTCAAAGACAAGAAAACGTAACTTTTAATTGTTGGCTATGTGATTTCAGAGACATTTGTTGTAAAAAGAAAATTTTGGTTCATCTGCATCATCACCTTAGAAACAGAGAGATTGTACATTGCCCATTCTTTAACTGCAGCTTCGAAACAAATCTCCTTAACAGTTTTACAGGTCATATATCACGCAACCATAAAAACGACACACTTAAAGATTTTAGAGGATCGGTTGAGACAGTTCATTTTATTCTGTCTGAAAACACTGGTCTGTTTCATGAAGATGGAAATGAACCTGGGTTTTCATCAAGTTTGACAGAAGAAAATGAAATCAACTGTATAGAAAATGTGGATTCAGAAATAGTAGAGCACCGTTTTGCCTCCCTTTTTCTTCGTATGCAATGTCTGTTACATGTGCCTAAACACGCAATACAGACAATCATAGAAGAATTTAATGAAATCTTTTCCCTTTCTAAGTACAGTACATCAGCAGTCATCAAAGAGATCTTGGCAAAGCATAATATTGAAGTTGAGGAAAATATTGTTCAGGAGATAAGTGACACTGTGATAACAAAAAATCCAGTACTTCTTGCCACATCAGAAAAAGGTACATTATCAACTCATTATAGAAGAAATAAATATTTCAGAGAGCATTTCTCTATCATTGAACCAACTGAGTGGTTGTACGACAGGAGTTCAAAAAAATCATTTGTATATGTTTCTGTACATCAGGTTATTGAGCTTTTTCTGAATAGAGCAGAGTTTTTGGAAAAAATTGTTTTCAGTGAAAAATCTACACCAGGATATTACAAGTCTTTTCAAGATGGTCATTATTTCAAATTGAATGAAAATTTTGGAGAACAAGAGCCGTCTATTGGGTTAGGTCTTTACATAGATGATTTTGAATTGTGTAATCCATTAGGCACATCAAAGAAAATTCATAAAATTTCTGCAGTTTATTGGGTGATTCTCAATCTACCTGTAAAGTTTCGTTCCACATTACCTTCAATTCACTTAGCCCTCCTTGGAAAGACATGTGATGTTAAACATTTCGGTTACAAAAAGTTTTTCAAGCCACTAGTTAAAGATTTAAAATCACTTGAACAAGTTGGAGTATTTGTTGAAGCTCTTGACAGTCATGTAAAAGCTTCAGTGTTTTGCGTATGTGCAGACAATTTGGGAGCTCATGGACTTGCTGGCTTTCAGGAGAGTTTCTGTGTAAACAACTTTTGTCGGTTTTGTTTGACAAGTCGAAGTGAAATACAATCCATTGCAATTTCAGATTTCCAGCTACGGTCCAGAGAACAGCACGCTACATGTCTGGTGCAACTTAAAAATGGGGATGTTGCACATGTAAATGGTGTTAAAAGTGACTGTGTACTAAGTGAGCATCTTTCGTTTTTTCACCCTGTCACTGGTTTTCCTCCAGATATTCTACATGACTTTTTTGAAGGTGTAGTTCCAGTAGAGTTATGTTTGTGTCTAAATAGGTTGATTTCCAAAGGATTTATTACTTTGGAAAGATTGAACACTGTAATTACTACATTTCCTTTTAAATACTCAGACAGGGTGAATAAACCAAAGATAATTTCAAAGGCAAGTTTACAAAAGGGCAGTATAGGTGGCAACGGGCATGAAAACTGGTCCCTGTTACGATTCCTTCCTCTTTTTATTGGAAAAAACATACTGGAACAGGAACCTTCATGGGAGATATTAATGGACCTCAAAGAAATTGTTGAGATTGTTATGTCACATGTTTTCACGGAGGAGAAATTGCACTACTTGGAGATCAAGTTGTCGGACCACAGAAAGTTGCTCACTGACACTTTTCCTGGTTTTAGTTTGCGGCCAAAGCACCACTTTGCAGAACATTATCCTCACCTCATACGTTGCTTTGGTCCCTTGGTTGAACTATGGACAATGAGGTTTGAGTCGAAGCATAGTTTTTTCAAAAAAACGATGCATGACATTCAGAACTTTAAAAATGTTTTGCTCTCTTTGTCTACAAAACACCAGGAGATGATGGCATGCCAGTTTGATAGTCAAAGTCTCTTCAAGCCCATGTTGCATGTCGAAAAAATAACAAATATCAGAACATCTGCTTTGGATTTAGCTTTGAGCAAAGTGATTAACAGAAACTACCCACACCTTGAAACTGTGCCTCTTTCCAAAGACATTCAGTTGCATGGGACCCGATATGCAGAGGGTATGATTCTGTCAGCTGGACACTACAGCGGACTGCCAGAATTTTATAAAATTGTGACTATGATAATCAACACTGAGAAAGTTGCCTTTGTTTGCAAAAAGCTCACCTCTTGGTACCTGGAACATTTTAGGTCTTTCGAGCTTGTTGAAGGTATCTACACAGAAATTCAGCTTTTGGATCTGGAGGATCTCAACCACCATCTTCCATTGGTTGCATACACAGTGGCAGGGAAGAATCTGGTGACGCCAAAAGTGTGCCTGCTCCATTGATGTCACACAAAATGGTAAGTTTATAGATTACCTTTTAGAGTAGCACTCGGTTGTGGTGATATGTGCAATGATATGGTATCTACATCTCCTAATTTCAGTTTGTGTTTAGAATTGTTCCTTTTGGCACATGTAAGTGTAGTGGTCTATTTGGAAGTGAGCAGCATTTTTTTCTTCTTCTACTCATTGTACTTTGGAAGTCTAACTTCCTTAGTATAACTCCTTGTTATATGTTTTTGTCAACAAAATAATTAACCACAACCTTATTTCTAGGCTCCAGCTGTTATAATTTTAACATTTATCTCTTGTGTCTTTTTGTTTTTCTCATTTCAACAAGGCTGGATTGTTGCTGTTGGTGAAAATCTCCCCCAAAATGACTCGCAAACTTGCTCTTGCTGAAGTTCCTGAATCTGTTGAACACTTGGAGAACAGCCTTCGTGAAAAACTGCAACTTCAAGGCAGCTTCACAATCCAGTATGAGGACCCAGACTTTAATAATGCCCTCTGTAACTTGATGAATATTCATGAGCTGCCACCTGAACGTGCCGTCTTGCATATTCTTTGGGAGGAGTCATCTGAGCATCCTCATAAAGAGTCTGACGCACTTGTTTCAGGGTCTTCCCTTGACACACCCAGTACATCTACTGGAGGTGCATTCCAAAATCCATCAGCTTTTATTAGGAGCTATCTGCGTAGTGTATCTGAGTGGCCTTCACCATTTACCATTCCAGCCTTTTCATATGATGTGGAATTGAAACTGCGTAAAGGGAACGACGAATATGAAAACACAAAGAAAGTTGTAAGCATAACTAGAGACATGAAGATGGACATTTTGGACAAGATTGCTCAGGCTGTTTTTGAGGTAAAAGCCTATCCTGACCAAGACCAGATTGAATCAGTAGCTTCTGCTCTGGTCACCAAACACCCCTGTCTTCAAGAACCAGGCAGTGGATCAGGTTATGATGGATGGAAGATGAGCATTAAATACAAACTTGGTAATTATAGGTCCAAACTACGTCAGGCAGGCTGTAATGAAGTCAGCATAAACCGCAAAAGAAAAAGCAATGAAGATGTTGACACAAATTCTTCTTTGAAGAGAGCAAAACGTGGAGAAATAAACTATGTCCCGGACTATCCAGATAGTCATAGTGATGACACTTTGGAAGAGGAAAGACTGGCTCTACTCGAGGAGTCACAAAAGAGAAGGATGGATCCTGTGCTCATAAAACAAAAGATGGAGCTGACGTTCTCCCTGAGGCGGAAGGAGATTGTGGAGGTGGAGCCAATGGTGACAGAGGTTATGGAACGGTGGCCTGCTTTGTTTAATGAGGCAGAGGTAAGCAGTGGTACTTATGTTTAATTTGAATTAATTGCGCAATAAAAAATATATATTTGCTGTTCTACTGGTCTAACAGATCAGGGAAGAGTTCCATCGAATCACCAACAAGGACCTGATGGACAGCTTCAGAGCAGGCCTAAATCAGCACACATCCAGGCTTCTTCAACTCTATCGGGCTAAGAGGACAACTTTCCCTGCTGAGATGGATCAACTCCTCAACAGGCTGGATGAAGAGGTAAAATTTAAAATGAACAATCTCATTATTTTGTTTTTTGTTGTGGATTTGATTGGGTGCCTTGTGTCGGTTCCTCTACTGGTGCCATGGATCTTCTGCTCTCGGGGCAGGTGGGTTCCCTGATGGCGTTTCTTTACCTGCCCTACCTGAACTCAGTCCAGTGTTTACTTCTGTTGTTTTTCATTGTGCATGTGTGACTGGGCAATAGGTTGTGGGAAGGGGGCTTAATTGTTATAATTGCTTTTATGTTTGTGGGAAAGGGATGGGATTTTGGGTAATGTGAAGTCATTTTAATTTGTAAAGCACTTTGAGTTACATATTTTTTTGAAATAAATTGTGATTGGTTGATTTATAATTACAGTTTACAGAGGACTGACAGTAGTAACAATTTAAAGCAGTATTATAAGGAAGGGAATTTATTTTAATTTTTTTCAAATGTCTTTGGTAATATCCATCAATTCATTATCTATTCCACTTAATCCGTGAAGGGTCTTGGTTATCTCCAGCGATCACAGGGCAAGATCACAGGGTCACCCTTGTCAGTCGGTGACCGGTGATGCCACTCCATCGCAGGGCAACATAAATGACATACACACAGGACAGTCAACCACACACATACACAACTGAGACTTCTGAATATGGTTCTAAGCTGTTTTTTGTTTCCTTTCTATTTGTTTCCATCTTCTAATGCTTGGTGTAACTTTTTCAGACTTCTGACATCACAATGCATCGCCAAACCACTGCTTTGAAGGGGCTCCCTTTTTATCTTCGTGACAGTCATGAGAAACTCTTCAGGAGCTGCCTTGTGAGTCATTAACAAATAAAAATAAAGTAAATGTATGCCATGCCTTTAATCCACTGTTTCCCTGTTCTTTTGTCTTATGTAAGCCGTCATTTCATTCAGTGTTCTCTGTGATCTCTATATCCCAAAGCCTTCAAAAGTTTAACTGTTCTTGATATAGTCGATTTCTACATATTATACCATAGCTTTTTGGTTACAGTGTTTAAATTGGAAATGTTTAATGTGAAAGATGGCCTATATGAATATCTTTCAGACTGGTTTACAATAAAGTACGGCTGGGCGATTTATCGATATTTTTCAAATTTCTGTATAATTTTTATACAAGATATAAGATGACTTTATATCTTCATATCGATATAACTGGTCAAACTGCTATGCTAGCGATTAGCCGCTATGTTAGACTCCAGCCATGTTTGCCCTGATAACTAATAACTCCACGGTGCATGGCCATGGCCCATGTGATATTGAGTAGATTCAATTACATCATCATAAATTTAGTTTAACATGATAGATTTATTTTCTCTGGACAAGAAATATATGATATGGCCCACCTGTAGATGAAAAAAAATTTTTTTACATTAATTATAAATATATAATTTAAAAGTGCCTGTGGGACATTTGATATACCTCTAGCTCTCAACTCTGTGTGTGTGTGTGTGTGTGTGTGTGTGTGTGTGTGTGTGTGTGTGTGTGTGTGTGTGTGTGTGTGTGTGTGTGTGTGTCAGCAGACAGCTGTACCAGTGTTTCTAAAGCTCAGGCTGGTAGAGAATAGGCACTAAAGTTAAAGTTTGACAAGAATCAATACATTTTTATGCATTTAATCTACTGATTTTTGTATATTTTTTCTCAAGACAGCTTGAAGTGAGTTAACTTGTAAATAATTTACAGGAGGACAAATATAGACATGTATATCATATATCGGAATTCAGCTAAAAGATATTGAGATATCAGTTTTGGTCCATATTGCCCAGCCCTACAATAAAGCATTAACATTGTTTTCCATCTCTTCTTAAAAGGATACTGACCCAGAGGAGGAGCAGACAAGAGGTCTCTCTGTGGGTATCCTCACTGTGCTGGAGGATGACGGTACTTCACCTGCTGTAAATGTGATGAACCTTGCTGTGGTTGTTGAAGAAACAATCATCCTTCAGGATCTCCCAGATCTGCCAACGGCTTTTGGCTATGTCTTTGGGTTGATCTATGTCTTAAACCTTCAATACCCAAAAGATCTCAGGTACACCTTTGAAACGGTTCAGAAAATCTTTATGGGACTTGGGACAGATCTGTCGGCAAGGGTAAGATCCCTCAAAAACAGGCTTTTTCTATGAATCCCTTATGGTAGCTGTTGGATGTACCTTACCTTTTTTTTCTTTAATGTCTTGCAGTTTTTTTCACTTTTGGGCTTACTTAAATTTAGAGTTCAAGTCACTGTTTCCACTGTTGCCACTTTAATAAAAAGACAGTTTTATACAGAAAAAAATATTATATAAATTTTTATTTGTAATGCTATGCTAGATAATTTTATGTTTTACTGGAGTTTCTTTTAAAATGTCTGATACAAGGTCAGCATTTTGTTTGTTCCTGTTCAGCCAGTTATTCTGGAGTTGGGCTACTCAACCAGGTACACGCCAGGGTCTTGTAATTGTACATTAAAGTGCATAAGTTTAAAATAATTTAGTCTTACAGCTGGTCTCACAGCTAGATGTGTTGGGCTTCCTACCGTTGTAGTTCAGCTTTTTCAGCTGTTCTGTATCAAACAGATCTTAATGTTTTAATACCAATATTGTCTGTCAAAATAAGTTTTATGCTCCATAGCTTAACTTGTGTAGTGTTTTACTAAGCATTCTGTTTTTGGTAAGTGTTACACATGGTGTTTAACATGATGTGACAAAAGTTCAAAATAAAAACACTTGTGTCATCGGCATTTGAATTTGCTTTTGTTTAGAATTTGCTGTTTAAACCCATCTGTTACATTATTAAGTGTGGTCTATTATCAAAAATGACATTTTCCTATACTGTTTAATAACAGAGTTGGTGTATGCAATATATACATGAGGTGGTAATTCAACTTTTCGCTGTGAAATGTGTTAAAAGTTGCAGCAAGTTGTAGTGGAGTAAGCTAAGGTCAATTAAAAGTTGTTGAAATGTAAAATGTTATGCCTCAATAACTTGGTTGAGTTTAGAAAAGTCAAAAATAATAGCTGGTGTAATGTTAAATTTTAAGTAAGTGTAACTTTTAAAATTGAGGTATAAATTAGGATTTACAGTCAGTACTATTTAAAATTTTAAGTTTTTACAACTTAAAATTGGGTAACAAAAACTTGGGATTCAAAGTTGCTACAACATACACTTGAGTTAGATAAACTCAGGTTTCATACTTATTACAGTTTAAAATTTTGAGTCTTTCCAACTTATAACTAAGTTAGCAAAACTTAGAATGGAGAGTTTGTCAAAATCAAATGCATAACTTAGAATATTAAGTTGATGCGCCAAACTTAAAAATTTCCTGAAGTTTGTTGCCTCAAAATTTTGAGTTTTCCCAACTTTTTTTTTTTTACAGTGCATGGGGTTAATCACGTTTAGTTGTTTCTCTTTGCAACAATCTTCACAAGAAGGCAAAACAGTTAAATGGCAGGTTACAGATATTTATATTAGACTTTTATTTTGACGGATAAACTCAAGGATGTTGGTTGTTTTGAAAGAATTACCCCGACGCACACTGATGCGCATGGATGAGCTGACATTTTAATCGTTACGCACATCGCAGAGGTAACTTGATTCCCATCAGAACATCAGAGCTTTATACTGGACACTGTGTTCAGCACGGCTCGGCGTGCCCACGGTGGACAGTGGGCTGAAGATCTGTAGAGGGGTTCGCAGCGCAGTGCAGAACCACGGTGCATGCGATAAGATTTCCTCCCACTGAAGTGGTCTGGAAACCCGGTCTCTCTGAGGGATGTGTCACTTGGAAAAATGTTCTTTTTATGAAATTATGAAACTTTGGCTGAACAGCGCTCGTTCCCGTCTCTAATATGGAGACGCATGACGCATCCAGTCTGAGGCAGAATAGCTCTTCAGCTCAGAAAGCTCCTGTAGAGACATTTGATCACGCACAAAGTTTATGTGGAGCAGAAGCGGTCGGGCCACGGCAGGTGGAATGTTCCTAGCCTACATGAAGTGAAACTGTTTAATTGTAACATTAATATGTTACTGGACACGCTGGTCTGGTTGGTTAGACCAGTGTTTGAAGTGGAAAACACACACACACACACACACACACCAATTAAAATAATGCTGATAGCGTGGACTAGAAGACAGGTGATAGTTTACGTATTTAAATGATGATCAGGCTGCTGTAAAATGTAATCTCCATCCACATCCAGACACAATTGTCCTCTATTCTTTCTCTAGTTGCTCTGCTCTTGTCTGGGCTGACGTAGCTGACGGTGCGCGCGGTGCGCCTAACGGCTGTGGTGCACATTTTACGCAGTTGGAGAGGTGGGCTGGATGCTTTGCTTTTACTGGAAGATGGTCCACTTAACGCACGGGTGTAGACTACATATTAATGACAAATGAATGAAAATTAAATTGGGAGTTTTTACTTCATATTTTAGAGATAAAAATGACGGGGGAACACATTTACGACGTCTTTTTAAATGAAATTTTCTAGCTATCTTTCTATAAACCTCTGCAAATTGTTGTTCTTCACTTTATCAAACTCAGACTTTGTACAGCTAATGTCAAGATGTAAAATTATTCAGTCGAGCTCTTCGTCCCTCCCTCTCCTGCTCTCCTGGAAACCCGACATCGGCTGTCAGAAGCGGGAGGTGAAGAAGGAGATGAGGCAAACAGAGTGAGTGCGACGTAAAGAAACCAGACTGGTGTGGAGGTGAGCAAAACAGCTGGAAAGTGTGGGTGTTGAATCCCCCACGGGTGCGACGCCCATGCGAGCGACCGGTACGGGCTGCTGTCACCTGGTTGTGGGCAGCTCTCTGCTGTCTGAGGGTAGGCCCCGCCCACAACGATGCGGCTCCCAGTGTTTTCTTTACTGTGGGAAACGGGTAATAATGGCTCTTTGATGGGAACAGGTTGCCGACCCCTGGTATAAGATCTGAGCTGGTAAAACAAAAACCCTCATCAGCAGGCGTTTTTGAAAGTGGGGGGGGGGGGCACAGCTGCCAATCACAAATTTTGCCGGGGACATGTCCCCGGCGTCCCCGGTTAAAATGACGCCTATGATCTCAGCTATACTGGCAGCTCTCAGCTGTGCAAGCCGGTCTCGGTCCTCTTCTCTGAAAGCTGATGTTCGCTGCCTGCCCCGGCGCCCTGGTCCTCTTGAAGGAGCTCTGGACCTCAACCTGCTGCCCTCACCCCTTGAGCGTGTCCTTCCCCGACCCTCGGAGCGACCTTTTCCTCTCCCCTTTCCTTTAGCCCCTGGTCTCAGACTTTCACACGACACATCAAAGTCTGTGGCAGGCTCGGGCACACTCCATCTGAACTGTCTTCCATCACTCCTTCCAATATGAATTCCTGAAAATCAGTGACAGTAATGATAAAAATGACTATTACCCTGTAGGTCTTGTTGATATTATGATTTTATTTTGATGCATTTTTGAACTAAACATTGATATTTATGTTCTTATTTACATTGTTGTGATGCCTGTCCTGTAATGAAATTGGTTTCACAAATGATGTCAGTGACTTGAAACTGGATGTTCTTACATGATGTATAAACAATAACATTAGCTTGTTAGT